TTGCTGTTGATAGTATTGGAAGAAAGAAAATTATGTGATAAATGGCACCAACATGCACTAGTATCATGTCTTGCAAGTGAGGTGGACTGAAAGTAGCAGTATGGCTGGATGACAACACTAGTATGATTTCATCTTAGATAATCAATTCAGTCTTGAGAATGACAGGCTCTCCTCTTTATCAGTGCTGATTGCATGGATTAATCGTTCTCTGTCAAGTAGTGAAATATACAGCTGCACGGATACTGATTTTGTGAAAGCAGTTTGTGCACTTCTGCTTTAGCACTTGTTATGTTTTAGCCACAGAGAAAATCCTGTTTATGGTGTGCGTGCTTGTGCTTGCCTCAAAAGAAGCGTATGGCTTTGGTAACTAAATATGTGAGATTTCAGAAATGCACATTATCTCTGGCAGGCCTGACGAGATTGGTTGTTACTGAGAGGAATCTCAAAGCTACTGAATTGTCAGCAAATATCCCGTGTGGCCCTGTAGCACCTTCTCATGGTCAGTGTAAATTTACATATCTATAAAAGTCAGGTTTCATCTAAATCCATACTGTCTATTGTCTATCTGTCACCTGTTCTTCACCTAAATGTACTTAGTTGTGTAACATTCACAACATTACATCAGGGAAATGAGAAGAGGAATAACTTCTGTTGCTGATTTTAAATCTCTTGTGCTTTTGACACTCTGGATATTTTATAAATTTCATTCTCGCCCTAGCTGTCCAGGTAACAGAGGTGCTGCGAAATTAACTTGTTGTTCATATGGGTGCATCAACACTCATCATTCAGATGAGACTTTTCATCCTTCTTTCATTAAGGTTGTTTTACTTATGGCCTGTAAATAGGTGCATCAGCGTAGATAAACATTGGAGTTTGCAGGTGGGAATGAACAAGTTGTTCAGGAATTTCATAGGCCATTGTAGAAAATTCTCAGATTCTCAGACCAAAAAAAGTGAGAGATGTTGTCCTAGTTCCAACCAGGACAGGGTCAATTTTTGCAGTAGTGGGAGGGGCATGGTTAGGAGCCTGAGGTTTTCTATATGTTTTCTATACCTCCTTACATTGTTACAGGGGGGGAAGAAATGGAGTCTCTTATGGGCAGAAGGGGTTCCAGTCTGGTTGAGTAAATGTGGCAGAGGGAGCAGTCCAGTTTTGTCTATTAGCAGGGGTTTTTTCTCTGTGAATCATTTCTTTCCTTGTATCCTCTGTCATAAGTATTATAACTGTTTGTTTTCTTATTTCATTGCTGTTCCCAGTAAATTGTTCTTATCTGAACCCATGATTTTTGACTTTTGTGCCTCCAATTCTCCTCTCCATCCCACTGCAGCAGGGAGGGGGCAGGGAAAGGTGGAAGGAACAAGAGAGAGCAGTGTGTGGTTTGGAGAGTCTTAGTGGGGGCACTGAATTGGGGAGTACCCTTCCTAAACCATGACAGATGTGAAATAATTCTTGCTTTTAAGTATCTGAGATATGTGATTTCTGCTAGCAGGTGTTTGACCAAAGTGTGTGAGGTACAAATAAGTAGCTCACATGATTTACTTTTTTTTCTAGATAAGTAGCATCAGGTGGAGCAAAAATCAAGCTTAAAATCCCTTAATGATTTAGTTACTTGTGCAATATCCCTCTTATTTTTCAGCCCCTTTAACTTCAATGAAACACTTTTCCATGTGAATTAGCATAGTTAGTACGTGTGGTAGATGCCTACCTTCGCCCATCAGTGAGAGTATTTTGATCATTCATCATGACTAGGCTTCACAAATGAAGATTTGGGAAGTATTTTGATAGTGAAGTGCTGAATAATCAAGTTTCAATGAAAACCTAAAGCTAAACTTGCCTTTAAAGGCCAGATAAGAAAAAGTAAGAACTATTCCTATAAGTGTCTTGTAAATATCCAGGCTTCTGTTATGGCATATATGTAAAATGTCTCTTGAATTAGTCGAACTTCTTTTTGCTTAAATACCATTATGTCACTTTCAAGCAAAATGAATTTTTATTTCTCATGTAGAACACTAGGTTTGAAAACGGTTCTTTAAATTTAAGTTTCTCAGCAGTATTAGTTGATAACTGAAACACAGGAAACCTTTTAGCTTGAAATGCCCTGTTACACTCTGATTCTAAGTAGATAATGCCTGAAAAGTTCCACTAAATACTAGGAAACAGGTGGATCCTTAGCATGGTGTAGTGTACTCCTTTCCTTACTCCTGGAACTTCAGGAAGGAAGCATGTCTGAGAGTGTGCATGTGCATGGGCTGTGTTAATGTGTATTGTGCATCTGTGTCTCCCTACCAGTTTGTGTCTGAATTTGGCTCAGCCAAGACTCATCTTGGTGTGTTGTGAGATTAAATGGGCTCAAACTCTCCCCTGACACCATACACAGGCCTCACCTGCTTGTATGTACATGCCTCACAAATACATGTGACAGTCTCAGAAAAACACTTTAGTTTGCCATTCACACTCCCACAACTCCTTCCCCAGTGGTGACTCTTCTGAGGTTACATTTGCAAAATTTGAGATGTGGGTACTGACCTGAAAAGTATTTGACATTCTGGTTTAAAAACAAAGCAAAACAAAACAAAAAACCAACCAAACAAAAACAAAACAGAACCACAAAAACAAAAAACCAACCAAACAAAAACAAAACCACAAAAACAAAAACAAACAAAAAAACCGCACAAATGCCAATAAGGAAACCATAAATCCGTAAGGATACCATTTGACTGTCCAGCACAGACTCATACTCAGCCATGCAAGACGCTGCACACATCCTGGGAGGAACAGAATGCCACCACTGTCATTAAAGCAGTCTCTTCTGATGCTAGCCAGAGCCCTGCTGGATTTTGTTTGGAAAATACAGCTATAGTCATTGGAAGGGGGCTGAAGGCGCAGTAATTATACTGCTGTCAAAGTAGTTTGAAATATTTTGACACAAATGCAAGTTGAATCTAAATGTACATCTCCATTTCAATGAATTTACTGAGGTTTAAGCTGTTTTGATGCTGGCCTACTGACAACAGGGAATAGAATGCCTTTTGCCTTTCCATTTGCCATTGCTGTTAGTCCTTGACTGTGAGCAAACAGCACCCAAAAGGCAAATTAACAGACATGTTTTGCATTTCTCCCACTGTGTTCAAAACTGCCATGGATATGAATGTATTGAGTAATCACCCTGAGAGAAGTTTTCATCTCATGATGGCTATCCATGCCACTAAGTATTTCACTGACCTTACTGCTGCCAGGAATTATATCCAGGATATTTGCAATGCATTATCTCCACTTTTGATTAGGTTTTTTTTTACACTGATTGGATTCCTGTAAAAAGCCTGGAGTCAGGAATGTGACATTATTCCACCCAATTAAGGTGCAATATCACATAGTGAGCACGTTCAGAAGGCAACTTGTGGAACTTCTTTAAATCTCTCTTTGAAATTTCAAATCTGAGGAGGGATTTTATTTGAGCCTTAGCTTTTAACTGCCTTACATTTAAGCCACTTGAAAGTCTGGTGAGCTTCTTTCTTCTCTTGTGATGTCTCTGTTACTGGAGTTCTTTATTAATGTAAACTTTAATTTTTCTAAAATGCAATCATAAATACAAAAAAGGTTGATCTGACACAAACCCTTCAACTGATGTGTCCTTGCAGAAAAACCATTACTTCTAGACAGGCATTGCAAAAATGTGATTAACTGTGGAACTTCCTATAAATGCAGCAGATAAAGTTCATTATTGACAAATTACTTTCTTACCTGTGTTAGAATAAAATGAAATACTTCTGTTTTGTGTTCTGGTACTTTTTATATTGCTTGAGATTACCAAGTCTTCTTCCCCAAGCGATATCTCTTTAAATTTTGTTCAACACTTCTTCCACGTGTTCTTAATTAAATATGCTAGACTACAGATCACTGGTGGCACATTCCCTGGAGTATTGCACACATCTCTGACCATCTATAGTCAGCACTGAAGTAGCTGAACTGGCTGTATGATCCTTCCTCCATCATCCTGTTCCTATAGAAAGAAGTCAAAGAGGATGACTAGTGTAAAATAGGCTATAGGGCTTACAGTTGCTGTCTCCAAAGTCACTCAAAACAAAAGGAGAGAGAAAGAGGAGAGAGTTGTTTACTCTAAATACACAAAATGATGGCATGAAAAGTAAACGCCTGATCTGACCACAAAAAACTGTTTGCTGAAAATCTGTTAAAGGATTTTTAACAGACTGAGAGTCTGCATCTGCCTTGAAAGAAAAGCCATGAGGCAGAACATATGTTCAGTTTGAGCTGAATAACATGATATGAATACTCTTGGAGACTGAGATTGAACTTAGTGACTCGAGGTTTCGAAGTGAATCCTAGAATACTTTCATATTCTTTCTTTTTTTTTTCCCCTTTAAGTGTCCAAAGTGCTTTATAATATCAAATCTACAATTCAAAATATGCATGTAAGGAAGGATAGGAGGTGAGAATAATAACAAATTTTAAAAAAAATCACAATCAAAGAAGCAGTGATGAGTCAGGAATTTTCTGCTACACTTCCTCACTTCTCAGAGGAACCTTCCCTGACTGCCTGCTACCTCACCTTGTCCACTCATTGTATAGGTTATCTTTATTCTGAAATGATTTTTTTTTTTTTTGCGTAGGGATCCCTGCTAACCCAGTAGAGCTTACTTCCTCGTATCTGCAGTGAGGGTTAGCTCTTGATTCTTAAAACTGCATGGCAGTAATTTTCTTCTCCCATTGTAGGCAGGGGTATAAGCTCATGTTGTCAACTCTGTAATGCACAAATTGTGCAGCTTCTAAATGATGTAAAAGCTGAAATGGTGGTTGTAATTCATGTACATGTCACTGAATATCATATCCGTCACCAGTGCCCTTTACTTTGTTTCATGCTTTAGCAAGCCTGTTTAACAAGGATGAATCTAAATGAGAGATTCAGATATCTCACACAGCAAACAAGAGCCTAGTTTCTCTTGGCTGATGTTCATCCTTACGTTGTTTCCTTGTCTCTGCAGCTTCCCATTGTTGAAAAAATAAGGATCATTGCTCAGAAGGTGTACGGAGCTCAGGATATAGAGTTGTCTCCTCTTGCGCAGTCACAAGTTGATCGTTACACCCGGCAGGTAAGAACACCAGTGAATTATGCTGTCAGGTATCTGCTGGATGAGAGTCTTAGGAAACCTCAGAGTGTAAAATGTTCTCAGATTGGAGTGTTAAGTCAAACTTTGCTAAAAGGCATGATACCCATGATACTGAACTGTGGACGTCAGTATGTATTGGTTTAGATTAGATAGAACAGAATGGTTTTAACCTTGAAAGCTATCTCCAGTGACAGATGAACAGTGTTCAGGATATTTCTGAGATTGCTCATGTAACCATACTCTCTATGTGTGTGATAATTCCGGGTTACCGTCTTAAATGTGACAACTAGACATCTGCAGAATTGGCAGCTAGCATATGAGTGTTAATTTGTATGTGCGAAAAAGAGTTTGCAAACACAGAAAGACCTGTAAACAGCTATGCACATTAGTAACAAAGCTCCCAATACTTGTAAAATCTTTTGGTTTTCTTTCTGTTCATATTATTTTCAAGGAGTTATAAATACTAGAAGGTGAAATACATCTCTGATCCTAAAGCATGTGGGAGTGGGCTTTGTATCAGTTTGAAAAGTTCAGAAACCATGCGGAGAGGTGAATGCATTTTCTGTAGTGGAATGACTTCTGGACATAAACTTGGCTGGAGCCTTTCTGTCAGAAAGTAGGAACTATGAATGATGTGTCATGGAAAAATACCTGAGTGTACTTCAGCAGCTTGGTCAGACAGGCAGAAATGTAGTAATGCAAACTTCCTGAGAATTAATTTGATTTTTCTAGATCAAAAAGAAGATGAATTAGTGCACTTAAAGCAAAATAATCCATACCTTTATTCCTGCTGTGATTCTCTGATGCATATTTTAGTCTAAATGTTAGTAGTATTAGGAAATATTTTCACAATGTCATTAAGGGATTGTCAGCACTGAGCTGCAGAGTCAACTCCCTACAGTGCCTTCTCTCCTCCTGGCTTTGTGAACTGGCCCTGTTTGTCAAGGAATTGAACAGATGAGTGGAAGGTGCCTGACTCAAGATTAATCGATGAGGGGAGCTGCTGAGGGCATTTCCCCAATTTTCTCCAACATTTTCGGTAACTACTTCAGACTCTGAATCCTGGACTCTGGTCTCAAGTAGGTGTCTAAGTAGGTCATTAGAGACCAGAGGGAACTGCTGTACTGGAGTTCTATTAAGTTGGTGTAGGCTTCCTGTTCAGTGTGGTACCTGTTGTGAACACTTTCTGAAAACAGCACACTTTAACTGGTGCATAGGCAACTTTTGCACCTAACTCTAGACTGAGAACCCACTCCAGAAACTGGGTATCCCTACAGCCAAGTCTCTGGAGATAGACACCTGAGCTGAGAGAGAATAGTGTATGAAATACAGTATTCAGTCCATTTCTGAAATATTATCTGTTGTGAAACTGAGGTTAACTGTTGCTATGTGGATTTTAGGGTTTCAAGAAGATATTGATAACAAAACAGAAACATAATGTGTCTTTACTGTAATTTTTAAAATGTTTTTATTTTCTATCCCTCTTTGGTTAGGGATTTGGAAATCTTCCCATTTGTATGGCAAAAACTCATCTGTCCCTCTCCCATCAGCCTGAGAGGAAGGGTGTTCCCACCGGTTTCATTTTGCCGATTAGCGATGTACGAGCCAGTGTTGGAGCTGGATTCATCTACCCTTTGGTAGGAACGGTGAGTGCAAACTATTCAGCTTGATCCCTCCCCTTTGACCCAGCTTGACAGGGAAGTGCGTTTCCTGTTTGCCACTAAAAATAACGTGTAGAATCAGGTGAGTTCTTGTTTTTGTATAATAATCTTATCCTCAAACTTATTGTAGCTCTAGGTTGATAGCAAAACAGAATTAGGAAAATGTAATGTCGTATAAGAGCTTCAACTATAGGGTCTGAGAGAATGGTTCTTGCTGTTGTTTCTGCTTCTGTTGTTTTTCCGTTAGTCTGGTATAGTTATGCACCCTAATGCTGCATAAAAAGGAATTTACATGTCCTTTGCCTTTTCTTATTCAAATTACAACCTATAAATAACTAGTTTAATGATTTTATTCTAAATGTTAAATCATTTCATTTGTCATTACAAACCATTGTAATATATTTAGATGAAAGGAACTGTGTTGGGGAGCAGTGTACGATTAAAATGATTGCTTTTCAGCTAATGAGCCTGATCTGTTTGCAGTCCTTGTGAATATCACTACTGGTTCTGTTAAACTAAATTATGGTGGGAAGGGGTAGCTTTGTAAATGCAGAAGTAGTAGCACACTCTTTTCCTTTTTTAGAAATTTAAACGATGAGGGGCTTGATGGCAGCAGGCTAAAAGGAGACAGTTGTCATCCTTTCTACCTACATGTCCTTAAAAGTACAGACTCAGATTAGGAAGCTCCTGATACTTTTTTCCCTAACAGGGCTTGTCGAAATAGCTGAGAAGTTAGTTAGCTCATGCCTTTTGCCAATCAGCACATCTTAATCCACACAGCAGTTGAACTACATCTGACGTCTCATAGCTAGAGTTATTACTAATATGTAGCTGATTCATGGGATGGTGTTAGAGGAGGGATGCAAAAGCCATTGCATTTCCGGAAAGAGTACTCTCCCAATGTTATCTCATCTTCCCAGAGCATGGCCTGATTTCCTTGTGTAGCAGTACGCTTAGGAAAGGTTGAAAGTTTCTAATCTATTGTTTTGAATTCCCTCTGAAACAATCAAGTGTTTGAAACAAGGAAGGAAGTACTTTCTGACCAGGAGGGTTCCTGGAGTTCAGGAAACTGTGTCACTTTAACTCACTGGACTTGGGGATATGCTTTCCTTCTGCATGACCACATTATGCGCATCTACCAGAAGCAAAGTGCAGCTGTGTATTTGAATTGTGTAAAACCAAATTCCAATTACTGGTGACAGGATAAAATTTGTCAGAACTTCTAGTATATCCTTCATGTCCTGGATTCAAGTTTGCACTATAAGTTGTGTGTCATGAAGTTGTGAGAAGGAGTGCATGTGAAAAACGGGCAGCAACTAATTCAAAATCATGAAAGAGTTATTCTGTAGGATGTCAGAGTGAAATATTCTTGGGTGAGCTTTCTGAATGAGTCACACTCTGCATGCTTCACTGTGAACTAGCTGCAGTTCAGTGTCGTAAATTCATAGAAACTGTCTGTAGGAGGACTATACACCAAACAAGTTCAAGGATTACCTCTCATTTTCTGTTTCCTTCTAGAACCAAAAAATAGGGTTCTTATGAAGGACTTTTTATATATGGGATTTCTTACTGGAGGAGATTGTAAAACATATATCCAAGTTAGTTAGCCTAACTTGGGCAAGAGGCAGTATTAGCCATGGAACTTCTACCATATCCTGCACTGGGTAGGCAGTATACTCTGTGTTAAGTGTTTCAAGAGAGTTTGTAGGGAGAGGTACTGTATGAACATAAGATCCCCAAGAGCTAAAAATGTGAATAGATAGACATTGATCATTGGCTGTTTGGAAAATATTGCTAATGCTCAGGAATGTAGGACAGAACACTTCTTGGAACTACCACACTTGCTACAAATCAGGATGAATGAATGAATGAATATGAATGTGTTCCTAACATCCTTACCATTCAGTTTCTTCTTTAGAATTAAATTTATGGCAAGAGGTCCAACCTGCTAGATTTCAGAATTGAGAGTTGTGATCATCATGAAACAAACTCTGGTAATATAATTGTACCACTACTTTTGAGATCACTTTTCTAATTTGCCACCTTCAGATTTTTGTGTGCATTGTTGTCAGCAACTAAGTCTTAGGATTAGTGTTGCTTTTTAAGTCGTGCAAGAAGGAATATTTTTGATGTCAGATTTCAAAACTGAGAGCCTTCCTTTGACAATTCTCTTACTAATAAAGCTATCTGAAAATGTCTGCAAGAACAAAGCAAATATAAAAGGGCATGTCCTGAAGGCTTAAAGTGGCTCTAAGTCAGATGCTATGAGTAGAGGGATTACAGATATCCTGGTGACAGCCTATGGTGAAAGCATCCAGTCATGACGGTGGATTAGATTTCTTTGTATAGGAAAAAAAGGAGAGCATACATTTTTTTTCCTTTGATTACTTGCTAGCTAATTGTATTAATGGAAGCGGTCCTTAATTACCTAAGCTACTTAGAACCTTCTTACTGCTAAGACCTTTCTGATGGCAGAAAAAATGCTATTTTTCATTAAAGTTGTAGTGATAATTCTGATGCTAATTAAATGTCAAACTCCATTCTCAAAGCATAATTGTACTGGATGAGCTTCTCACACTCTAACCTAGCGGAATTTATCAGTAAAGTAGGTTGTTAGAATTCTGCTCCTATTTGTTTGGGAAGAGCATTACAAATGCAAGAGATAAGTAGTGCTGAAAGATAATAAGCTATCTACAGTAACTAGCATTTGTAGTTTAACCTTGTCACTAGCACATGTAGAGTAATGAGATTTGTATTTACCCCAGCACTCATAGGCAGTGATTTTATTTTTTCAAAACTAGATATTTAACATGTTGTCTTCATATTCTCTAAGCAATATTTGGTTTGTGTTATGGTTGGCTCCGGTTCTCTTACAGCGTGGAAGTCTTTCCAGGAAAAATGAGCTGAGCCTTATCGGAGGAAATCAGCAGTGAAACAAGAGGTGTATTTAATTAACACTGGCACAGCTTTTATCCAAGTTCTCTGCGGCCATGACCCAGAGGGCTACATCACTCTCACAGGTGGACTGTTGATATCATTGCTTGGCTTAACAGAGTGATGGCAGGAAAGCTGCTGGAGTATATGTAGGAAACCAGTGAGGTCATTCACTAGCAATGCTTGGGTGGAGAAATATTAGATTTTTGTAATATGTGTGTTTCTCTCCACCCCCACCCAAAAAGCCATAGCAATTTGGTGCTTTCTCACATTCAGCTATGTTTCTATTGTTCTCTTTCACGTGAGTTGCAAGAATACAGGAAGGTCATGGAAGTAAAACCTGTTGTCTTTTGCCTATGTGAAGTGATGCTACAAAATCACTTGTGCACGTAATGAATCTGTGTTTAAATCACAGTGAGATTTTTAAATATGTACTACGCTTTTCCAGCTGTGCACTTTCAGTTTAATAGGTTAAAATTACAGGCCACGTCTCTTTGAAAATACGTGGAGCTTTTCGGAGCTTCCAAATTCTCACAATGAACTGACATCCTTCAGATATCAACATATCTGAAGGTCAGTCTATTAGAGAAGTACTGTTCTCCCCATACAGAAAGAAGTTCAAGTCTCTGGAACTAGTGCTAGAACTATATCCTCTGGGAAGGAACTCTTGGGGTGACCCAGTGTAGTTTGAAATCAGTGTATGGGAGCAATAAAGCCCTGATTCACTTGTGGCTGAGAGAGAGGACTGTCCTGCCAAAATATTACCTGAATATTGTAAGAGGGAAAAGACCTTGAATATAAATATTTTTATGAATACTTTCAGAAGGAAAATGTTGTTGCCTGTTGGATCGATTTCTTCTTTCTTGGTTGTTAAGAGCTTAAAAAGTTTTGAGAGTTTCTATTGAACATAAGATGGAGTCCAGGCCACCTGAAGTGAAATTGCAATTTTTCAGTGCTGCATGAGGCCCAGGTTGTCTCCAAACTGTCATTTTGCCACTTCTCTCAGGTGCTTTTATGGGACAGATGAATAGTTATTGGTGGATTGTCCAAATCATCCTAATGATTTTTGTAACACAGGGTGATGTTTCAAAAACAAAAATGATGTTGAGATTTATATTTTTGTAAAGCATTTAGCTTACAATTCAATTTTATATTGTTTACAAAGGAGTAATGCTCTGCTAGGTATTCTGATCTCTCTCAGTCCAAAAAATGTCCCTGGTGATGTGGCATTTGGCACCTTTGTATTTCACAGAATCAACTAGGTTGGAAAAGACCTCTGAGATCATCAAGTCCAACCTGTGACCTAACACCACCATGTCAGCTAGACCATGGCACTAAGTGCCACGTCTAGTCTTTCCTTAAACACCTCCAGGGACTGTGACTCCACCACCTCCCTGGGCAGCCCATCCTGTCCAATCCTTCTTTCTGTGAAGAAATTCTTCCTAATGTCCAACTTGAACCTCCCCTGGCGCAGCTTGTGTCCTCTTGTCCTGTTGCTAGGGGAGGAGAAGAGGCAAACCCCCACCTGACTACAACCTCCTTTCAGGTAGTTTATTAAATTTTTTATTACAGTACGTGTAATCCTTCTTGGGAAGGAAGAAGAGAGGTTTTCTGAAGTACACAGTGTGCATCATTCCTGTACAATGACTGGGTATGCACATGTGGAAATGATGAATGATGTTACACTTGGTGGAAGGCTGATAAATTATTCAGGGTAGGGTTGATGGGTCTGTGGTGACCTCAGCACATCAATGGCTGGAAGTGAACATGAGGACAGTCAACTTCAGTTTGTTGCGTTTAAAAGCTAAAGGCTGAGAGATGGTTAGTGTAATAACAGGAAATCCACTTGTGGTCCTTTGTGGATTGCATGATGTGGTTGCGATGGTATTTGATTGGCCAGAGAGGGTCCCTGTAGATGAGGCAAAAATAGCTCTAAGTGAATGATTTAGCTGAAGAGATGAGGATAAAGTTGTAGATTGTAATGGAAAGTGGTATGTGGCAGCCTTTGAAAATGTCCCAGGTGTGTGCACTATGAGGCAGTTAAGGATGGC